TCATGTCGTTTATCTTTGTAAATTGCGGTAGTTCTGTCATTGGCGTCGAACTCACTCCACAGGTCGCCGGACCGAGTCCTCTTCTCAATGTAGTTCCGAATCTTGCGACTACAGCTGTCTTTGCCAAAATGTAATTTTTCTACTAAATTTTAAATTTCAGCGAGATAGATCTCGGCGATACGTCCACTCGGACGTACCAATAACTTACCCATAAATGTGGAGTTGATGCGGTAAAGTAGAAAAGTAAATAAATGTAAAGATCTTGCTTGATATTCTACGATTAGCTAAGTGGCAATATTAAGCTGCGGCACTCATGCTACGCTACTGACTGTGGATAGTAATTACAAAAAATCGAGGAAGCAGAAAGGTCGAGATTCGAAACATCCACCCGCCCGTAGTTTATCAGTTTGAGGAAAATGCTGATAATGTCATCATCATCATTCATCATTACAGCCTTTCATAAGTCCACTGCTGAACATAGGCCTCCCCCAAGGAATGCCACAAAGCATGGTCCTGAGCCACCTGCATCCATCGACTTCCTGCATGTCATACCAGGTCGTCACTAAATCTCGTGGGGGGGTCGCCCTACACTTCGCCTACCGGTACGAGGCTGCCACTCAAGAACCTTTCTTCCCCGGTTGTCGGTTCTTCGAGCTATATGGCCGGCCCACTGCCACTTCAGCTTACTAATCCGTTGGGCTATGTCGGTTACTCTGGTTCTACTGCGGATATCCTCATTTCTAAGTTTATCACGCAGAGAAACTCCGAGCATAGCCCTCTCCATAGCTCGCTGAGCGACCTTGAGCTTCCTCATACGGTCCGCAGTGAAGGACCACGTCTCAGATCCGTAAGTCATCACTGGCAACACGCACTGGTTGTATGATTTCGTTTTAAGGTATTGAGGAATGTCTGACGATGTAGTTTCCTGAACGCTGCCCAGCCGAGTTGAATCCGTCGATTAACCTCTTGGTCGAAGTTCGACTTACCTAGTCGGACTATTTGTCCCAGGTAAACATACTCGTCAACAACTTCGAGCTTAGTGCTCCCAACAACTACCGGCATAGGTGTGACATGGACATTGAACATGATCTTTGTTTTCTCCATGTTCATCTTAAGACCTATCCGTTGGGAGACACTATTGAGGTCATTGAGCATGGTGCTTAGATCCTCCAGCGATTCTGCCATAAGGACTACATCGTCGGAAAATCAAAGGTGAGTGATGAACTCGCCAATGATGTTAATACCGTATCCTTACCAGTCCAGAAGCTTGAAAACGTCTTCCAATGCAGCGGTGAAGAGTTTCGGGGATATAACGTCACCCTATCTTACACCTCTCTGCAATTGGATAGGTTTCGTACTCAGGTTATGTACTCGGATAGCCATCGTAGCCCTACTGTACAAGCACTTCAGCACTTCGATATACCGATAGTCAACTTGGCACCGCTGAAGGGACTGCAGCACCGCCCAAATTTCGATGGAATCAAAGGCTTTCTCATAGTCCACATACGCAAGGCATAGTGGCAAATTGTACTCCTCGGACTTCTGTACAACTTGCCGAAGGGTATGTATGTGGTCTATGGTGCTAAAGCCCTTTCGGAAACCAGCTTGTTCGGGAGGCTGGAAGTCGTCAAGTCTGCGCGCGAGACGATTCGTAATGACTCTCGAAAACAGCACGTGGACGCGGCTCAGAAGGGAAATTGGTCTGTAGTTCTTCAAGAGAGCGTTGTCACCTTTCTTGAAGAAGAAGACCACCGCACTTCTGCTCCACGCCTCCGGTGTAATGCCACCATGGAGGACGGAATTAAAGAGCTTCTGAAGGACTTCAAGTACCGGTTTTCCACCCGCATTCAGAAGCTCCGCTGTAATTCCATCCTCGCCTGGGGCCTTGCCGTTTTTAAGATGCTGGAGAGCCATTCTAATCTCGCTCAGACTCACGTCCGGGATATCTTCGGATAAGACTCGCTCTTGGATCGTTACTCACACTTGCGTGTGGCTCCAACGATGACTTGTACAGCCGTCCATAGAAACTCTCAATCTCACTTAAAATCTCAGGTGCCCCGAAAACGATGCAGCCACACTTGGTCCTCAGATTTGACAGTTGGCTCTTTCTGGCAGACAGATCTCTGGCAAAGACTTTGGAGCCTTGGTTCCGCTCGATCGCTTCTTCAATACAATCTGTATTGAAGTTGCGTAAGTCCCGCCGCATGCATTTGGAGATCTGTCTGTTCAGTTGCCTGTATGCTGTCAAATCTGTTGAAGAATGTAGCTTCATCTCCCGTCTAACAGCCATGAGATTAAGAGTGTGATCGGAGAGTTTTTGTTTTTGTGCTGTGTGTCCGTCTACATCGGGTACCCTAGTCGCCACCTTTACCATCTGAGAAAGACCTAGCGTCAAAGCAAAATTCCACGCTTCTCTACCAGCATGGTCGGTCTTTTGGTATGGGAACAGCCAGTCTTGGTGACAAGCGTTAAAGTACCCCAGAAAGACCAACTGTGCAGTAAGATACCGATTTAGGGCCACGTCAGCAGTCTCACTAAGGTGATCAAATAATCGAGTTGTCTCCTGGTCACCGCTGTGCGATCGATAGCTACAGGCATAAAGGATTTTATCAATACCTGTATCTACCATCATCCAGATTGTCGAAAAAGTGGGGTCTTCAAGGTGACAGAGACGCTGGAAGCAGATGTCATTGCGGACGTACACACATACTCCGGCATGTTGATGGAATTGGTGCTCCAGGGAGAATCCAGGATAGTCAAGGTACGCCGCACTCAATGGACATCCAATTTGCATCTCTGTCAAGAAAAGTAGGTGCGGCTTTTCAGTCTCAAGATGATGATGGACTGCGCTGAGATTAGAGTGCAATCCTCGAATATTAGTGAGGTGCACTTTTAGTGATAGGGCATGCAACCGCTGTTTAACACTACATTTCTTTTTTATGTGCATATTAAGTATTAAGAGTGAATAAGGATGGAGAATGGCAGTTGAGCGAGGCGTTGCATTAGCAACCAAACGATACTATCAGAGTTATTGTGCCCATGGGAGCTTGATCTGGAGACTGCGGGGACGCCCGAACCCCCCCAGAGAACGCCATCGGGTCCTCTCGCCCGGTCGTTAACCGGCACGATGGGGCCACCCTGGGATTTTTCGCCAATTGGCGGGGCAGCCTTTCATGAGTCGCTAATTCACTAATTGGTCCCCCAACTACCTGCGGTCAGCCAGCGGAACACCGTGCTTCGGATTCCGCAACCTCCACAGCAACAACTGACGCTTCGTACCCAGTTTACATACACAACGCTACTGTTCAGACCCATTCTCCATATGGCTTCACCAAGCATCATGCCGGAACACGACAAAGTCATTTGGCGGCAAGACTTTGCATTGGTGGGTGGTAATCGAAAAGTCAGCGGCCGAAACCTACCACCGGAATTGGTGCTGCTCGTTTAGCACTACCCGGGGAGCACGTGTAGGGTGTCAGATTTGAAGTATTTCCAACGGACGGGAGCAGCCTCGCCCCCCAAAACGCGTTGACTTCATTAGACAAGACCTCTCCAACTTAACGTTTAGGTTAGGTTCAGTGTGCCTCTAACCATTCGGTGATCGCTACCAGTTTTCACCCTCGTGATCACTGAGACATCACTGGACAGTTGTGGTCTGGTCGTCATAATGAAGTCAATCTCACTTTATGTCGAACCGTCGGGGCTCGACCAGGTCCACTTCCTGTGGGGCCGCTTCTGGAAGAAAGAGTTCATCATAAAGAGTCCCTCTTTCTCCATGAAGTCGGCTAGCTGCTGGCCCCTTGGGTTCCGTTGCCCTATTCCAAATTTCCCTACTTTCAGCTCATCGTTCTCTCTTATGCCTAGTTTTGCATTGAAGTCTCCCATTAACACCGTATATTGGGTTTTGGAGGAATGCATGGCTCTAGAGATATCTCTAGAGTCATGCATTATATTATCCTCATATATTTCCTCCACCTCCTCATCGGGGTGTGCCGAGGTTAGTGCGTAAATAAATAAATCAGACACCTCCTTGGGACAGATGGTCGCCCTCCCGATGATAATAGAGCAAGTTGCCGGATTAGAGGATTACCTTGTCCTCCCCCTCGCTTCGGACAATCCTATAATATTCCAGCACAACTTGTCTATCTCTTCTTCCAGTTCCACGATCTTCTCGTCAGTCCTCAGGGTACGTGCGTTGTACGTTGCCAGGTAGAGTCGTCAAGGTGGCAACCGAACCTCCACCGGAGATTCTTAGCACCCCCTACCCCGCCGTTACCATGGTCGCCACCGTAGCCAGGAATAGCGGGGCCGCCGGGGACTGGCTCTTTGTTACTCTCTTCATAGGGGGGTATTTGCCATAGTTGCCACGCTTGGCGAGCGGGTTGGCAACCGCAGTTTTTTTTATTGTAATTTCGGCTATCAGGAAGATGCTGCTGCTTATCTCCTGCCTGTTTCCCTTTGTCATCTTTTACGACACCCACGGGAAGATATGGGGTAGTGGATATTCTTGACCGCCACTACACGGCTGATTATGTACAGTAAAACAAATTGAATACATATGAATAGATTTATTTCAATAAGAATTATATTATATCACATATATTCATCTAAAATCACCTTGAATTCTCAATTATTTCATCATTACACATGTATAACACACATTACAATTACCTTATTGTAAGATCAGTTCAAATCACTGTTTAACACTTATCATACAATTTTACTAATTAACCTAATATTAAGTATCTTAATATTACGATTTGTATTGAATAATAAAAATATATGTACATAAATTGCAGTGCAAGCACACTCAGTGCTCAAGTCAAATATTAAATCAGTGCAGATAAAGCATATTTTTCATTCCTTATATAATTGACCGGATCCACCGATAGAACCATAATGGAAAATTTATAAAAATTTAACTGAGCATGGATGTCATTGAATGTTAATCCATAATACTGTCCGTCTTAAAAATGCTTTCTGTTAAATTTGTAGGAATATTAAAACTCAGCATCTAATGTAAAAACATTGTCCATACGATTAGACATCACACCCCACTTTTGGTACTCTCCTACTTTCTTCTCAAAGAAGTTGGTCTTGCCTTCTAGCGATATCAAATTCATGAAGTCAAATGGGTTCTTTGTTTTGTAGTGCTGAAACAGAGATATTATTAAATTTTCTGGAAATAAACAGTATTTAAAAGATAATAAATTGGGCACAATTTATAATACACCTACCTTTTCTCCAATTAGATCAACAAGTAACCTGTCTGCAACAAATTCAATGTATTCTGACATAAGCTCACAGTTCATACCCAATAAACGCACAGGTAATGCATCTGTGAGGAACTCCTGCTCAATGGCAACAGCATCCTTGATAATCTGTAGTACGCATTCCTTGCTTGGCTTCTGAACCAGATGTTTGAACATTAAACATGCAAAATCTGTGTGCAAGCCCTGTAACAGAAAATGTTCTTGTTAAATATTGGAATGAAGTTTTATATAGTGAAGAGATTTAAACTAACTCTCCTGTGTGCAGTTCCCTGTAAAATAAACAAAAAGGCTCTCTAATACCACAAGTGGGGAATAGGAAGCAGCATTATCAGTGCGAGTAAATAAATGTGGTCGTGCCACACTGCAGCTATATTATGGTTTTAGCATGAATGTGTCGGCTTGACCAAGGAAGGACCACACTCAAAAAATAAAAGCATAAAATAGCAGCTCAATGCTGCTGCTGTTTCGTATAGTGTGTAGAGAATTGGACACCCTTTTTACTGGAAACGACTCATTCCATCTTAAGTTTTCCGAGGTTACAATGCATGTGCATTTTGATTCTTAACCGAGGATAGATGTAGATTATCTATGGGCCACAGTATCCACTTACCACCAGGTGAACTGTGTGCTTGTTTGCCACCCTTATTTTATAAAAGTTTATATTATTGACTGTCAACTCAGCATGGTATATAGGGGCTATCTCCTAAGGTAAGCGTATGACAGTTGACACATCTATGAAAAGGCTTATATCCTGCAGTACATTAAGAAACACTGATATATTTTTTTTAATATTGGAGAGACAAGTTTACAGTTCACCTTACGGTAAATGACTGCTTAGCCAATTCAGACATCAACAACCAACTTCAAGCAAACAAGTCACAGGTGCATTATAACCCTTGAAGACCAAGCGTTCAAACAAAATCATCTGCAAGTTTGGTAGGCAGCAGAAGTAGGTACAACGTTAGTACATGCTTTCCCAGATGGACACTAAATTTCTAAGCAAAAGCTTAGGATCCCTACCAAGATCATATCTTAGCAACCAGATTTTATTGCATAACATAAAATTATTAAACTATGGAACAAAAACAAATAGCTGATAAAGATTTTACAATATTTTCAATTTTTCAATTTCAATTTAGTTTATTTATCTCTTCACAACTTATTGCCTGGTTAACAATATCAAAGTACACAGTAAGGACCTAGTGTTGTGAGAGACTGGTGCCTAATATAGGTTTTATATTCAAAACCTGTGTTACAGGTCACCAGCCCCCTCTCGCAGATAGGTTACATATAATACAAAGAAATAATACAGAGAGGAATATATCATAAGAGATTATAAAAAGTTATATTATAAGGCGAATTGCTGAATCCATTCAATGGATATGGACATGTATAGGTGAGTATATGAAAGCGTGTATATATAGGTTTATATGTATATGCGCGCGCGCGCAAAAAAATATCTACCACCACAGAGCCAGAGTGATTAATATGAATGATAACTAGCAAAGTACTCGGTAAAAGCTTAGCAAGTTGTTAATTCTATAAAATGTCCGATAATTTATCAATGACCCACTCAATATTTAGCACATTTGTGGTATACTTAACCAATTAAATAAAGATTACAGAGACATCGATGCCAATTGTTATCTCTATGTATTAATCATCACAGATTGCAGACAGATTGACAATCCCAGTGCCACATGTCTTGCACCTAACTTTTTTTTATAGTAGAGGAAAACGAGCATGTTGCTCATCTGATGGTAAGTAACTACCACCACCCATGAACAACTTGCAACACCAGGGACATTGCAGATGCATTGCCAGCTTTTTAAAAAAAAAGTAGCTGCAGGCAATCACTAAACTGGGTATTTTACATCTAGCAAACAAAATAGTTATACTGCCATCTCTCTGAAGCCATGAGATTTTTCTGGATTTTCCACTTTCGCCTATTATGGCACCTATGAATAAAGATGGGGAAGCTCTCTTACACCACCATCACATGGGATTAGATGTTTTCATTAACAATCATTAATTAGTCAATCAGAAGTACACCACCATAGATTGCCTCAGGGGATATTTGCCATACTTTCCACATTAGGCTTCCTAATAACAGTACATTTCATTTAAGGGAACACCAAAAAAGCTAAAGCAGTAAAATCCTTTCATTATTTTTGTTGATGAGTTAGCTGCATTCTCTTAGTACATTTAAGTGACAAACTTACTTTTTCATAATATTAATAAAGACATTTACAACATACTTTAGCATCTTATGTTCCATGAAAACATCAGTAAATATAAAAAAAATTATTACTATACCTCATCTCTAGAAATCAACTCATTACTAAAAGTCAGGCCTGGCATCAATCCACGCTTCTTCAGCCAGAATATTGACGCAAAACTGCCAGAGAAAAATATTCCTTCTACAGCTGCAAAAGCAACTATCCTCTCCCCAAATGTAGCAGATTTGCTTGCAATCCACTGCAGAGCCCAGTCAGCTTTCTTCTTTACGCACGGCAGGGTTTCAATAGCATTGAATAAGAAGTCCCTGATTAAAAGAAAACAATATTCTATTAAGACTTCCACATATTTCTATAATCTTTGAGTTACAAGATGCGTATATTTCAATGTACAATTAGTGTTTTCTATCAGTACAATGGTGTATTTGATAGAAAACACTAATTTTCATTTAGAACAACTCAAGCATTAGGTTGTCAGACTGTAGAGTTGTGAGCACAAATCTCACATAAAACAATTACACCCAGACAAAGAACATTTTACACAGCAGTTTATATACATGTATGTAAAATGATTAGGATACAAAAGAGGATGTAATGTAAAAATAAAAGAAAATGAAAATATTATATTATATGATAGACATATATGTTTAATGGCTGAAATGTGGTTAAGCTTTATTTACATTTCTTTTACTTTATAAATTTAAGGTTTTTGAATTTTAAGGATCAAAATAACTTACCTCTCTTTAGGGTCTCGAATATAAGTATCAATAAGTAAGGAGTACATTTCAGAGTGCACATTCTCCATGGCAATTTGAAAACCATAGAAACATCTTGCTTCAGTAACTTGAACTTCTTGTGAGAAGCGTTCCACCAGATTCTCATTAACTATGCCATCAGAAGCAGCAAAAAATGCTAAGACATGTTTGATAAAGTGCCTCTCGCAGTCCTTTAAGTTTTCCCAATCAGATAAATCCTAAATTTAAAAAGATAAGATTGAATTATATGTATGTATATAACCTAATAGTTTAACAAATATATAAAACCATGAATATGTATGAATGAAATAAAAAAATAAAAACAAAAGTAAAAGAAGTAGTATTGTTTTGTTTAATAATTCATAATAACTTACCTTGGATAAGTCAACTTCCTCCACTGTCCAAAATGACGCCTCAGCTTTTTTGTACATTTGCCAAATATCAGGATACTTGATAGGGAAGATCACAAAACGACGCGGATTTTCACGTAAAAGTGGTTCCAATTGCGGATCAAATGTAGTCACTTTGGAGTCTACTTTTTCTATTTCCATCTTTTCCTCATTTACATTTTCATTCCGAGCAGCCAAAACATTTTTAACAGGTGACTGTAAAAAATATAATATTAATATATTGGCAACAAAATGAATCAAGATATTTAATTTTTAAAAAATCCGTTTTTACCTTGATATGGACATTATTGATTCCATTGTAAAGATTCTCCTTCTCAATAAGTTGAGCCATTTTCAAATGATTCTAACAAAGCAGCAATCAAATCAAAAATAATAAAATGGTTATTAAACACGTTTTTACAAATACGACCGAAAAATGTAAATGTTTGAGACTGAGTTTGAGTTGCTCCAGGACGATCTATCGTCAAAACAAATACAATATTGGCGGGAAAACAAGGTTCGTTCCGAGACCAAAAATGAAATCTTTACTATTCACATATAAAGAATTTTTAATAATATTACGATAGTATTATAAATCACATATATTTTCTAATTTAATTTCAAGATATTATCAGGGGGAACACTTCAGATATTTACAGCTTGCGTGTTAAAAAATGATTTATGAGCAACTCTATGAAACTTACAACGATATTAACACCATAATGACACTGGATTTTGAACAGATTTCCTTAAATTGACAGACCAAGGCATTGGTGCAATAAATTTTCCTTAAAATGGCGCGTTGCCGCGAAAAGATAATCCCCACTCCACCAATGTTAAGTCGTCTATATTCTGATAAATATATCGTATACTGAAATTTCTTTTACAGAGAAACGACAAGAAAACCTAACCAACTATTAAATTTAAGAAAGTATGATTGGAATTATATTACATGGAAAATAAAAAATAAATACTTTTCCCGCTAATATATACACATCCGTAGAGTATTGCTATTGGTATATTGTTTCTCCAATCACAGTTCAATTTTTCGTTTTAAATAAATTGCTAGAGAAAATAATATAGAACATACAACCTTACATAGATAACTTTTCATAATTAAAATTAATCAAGAATAAAATTAAAATAAATCAATTATATCTTACAACATGTATTATAACAGTAATATTTATATGAGTGCGATCATTTATATATAAATATTACAGGGTGACCACACCTATTCTGTTTACAACAATATAACATTTTCACAGTGGTAGAGCCACGTGGCGGCTTTTGCTGTCGCACGGATGGGCCGGCTCGAACCGGGGTGGTACCACGACCTCACAGAATACCAGCGTGAAGTAGAGGTTTACCTCTACGTTTCGCTTGGTGAGTGCAGGTGGCCGGAGGCCCTTTTTACTGGAAATGAGGCATTCCATCTTAGTCCTCACGGATGACAACGCATCTGCATTTTGATTTGTAATAGAGGATAGATGTAGATGTCTATGGGCCGCAGCAACCACTTACCATCAGGTGGACTGTGTGCTCGTTTGTCACCCTTATCCTATAAAAAAACAAAAAAAAAACAATTAGGCTGGCTTTTCACTATGGGATATAACATATATTATATACCGAAATATAAATTATATCCCGCGATTGGCGTTCACACTATAAGATAAATCTTTTAACCAGTGTGCGTTCGTCATTGATCATTGGATTACCCCCCTTTACCCCGTACACCGTACTGCGGGGGCGCGGAACGGTGTGCGGGGTACAGGGGGCAAAATATAATATGAAAATATCGCTCGGTCGATCGAAAAAATATTTATAGCTTGAGATGTAATATATATTATATTATATCATATCCCGTTGTGAAAAGCGGGCCTCATGAAATTAAAATCGTTTGTATTTATAATAGGGTCAGCATTTTTAAGTATTTATATTTAAATGTTATTTTAAAATCAAACCAACCATTCAATAATTAGATACAAACAAAAACAAGCAAAATTGACATGGAGTGTCTATGAGACAATAAGGAGTTATCCCAAAATATATATGTCATTAAATTTGTTGTATATTTACACTAAACAATTTAAGGATTCGTTTGGGTTGAGCGCTAAGCACGTACATACAGGCATTTAATTACATATCTTTAAAGGTTCTCTAGCGCTTGTGTCAAGATCAACGAGGCATACTCGGACTAATTAGTTATCCTCATAGGTGCCAGACAGGATTGTGTAGCTTCCCCGTAGCATTTCTATCTATTTATCAGAAAAAAAAATAAAATTCTTTGGAAACGTTGAAAGTTAACGAACGTGGAATAATAAATGGGGCTCTTCAATCAAATGTGGGAAGTCAAAATGTGTTAAGCCGCGTCTCCATCAAAGTTTTGTTGCCAACACAACAGTTGCCAACACGTGTTGCCAACAAATGTTTCTGTCAACAAGCGTCTCCACCGAGAGAACAAATGTTGGCAACAAGTGTATTCCTTTGATGTTGCCGCCGAAAATGGAAACAAGTTTTGTTGGGAACTGTTGTGTTGGCAACAAAACTTTGGTGGAGACGCAGCTTAAAAAAGACACGTATGGCAATTTGCAATGGTGTGTTATTACCTACCTTGATGTATAGTAGTGAAAATTGAGCGTGGCAAAAGAAGTACGAGAGTAGATTAAATGTTGTAGAAATGCGGTCATTAAGGAGTATGTTAGGGGAAACTATGAGTGACAGGGTAAGAAATTGTGTTATAAGAGAAAATTGTAGTGTACAAGATGTTGTAACCAGGATTAGAAAAGGAATACTTCGAAGGTTTGGTCATGTAGAAGGAATAAATGAGAAAAAAATGACAAATAAAATTTATATTAGGGCAAATAACTCCATAGATGGAAAATTATCAACCAATATCGCGATATATTGCAGTTGGGTAAAATTAAGAGTATCCTTAATCGACGAGCATGTATGCGTAGGTAAGTGAACGTGAAGGAAACGAGAGAGGTGTGTCAGGATCGTGCTAAATGGAAGTCCAAAGTCTCTGCCTATCTCTGCACATTGCATAACTGTTTGCAACACGGAATAATCTATATAAATAAAATAATAGAGGTTTGCAATTGTACGCATATCACGGAAAAACTACTAGATAGATTTCAATTAAATTTTCTAATTTTTATTTATTAGTCACTTGGCCCTTATCCAAAATTTTTACATTATCTTTATTTAATATAAAGTTATTAAAGTTAAAAGAAACAAAAATTTTCATACGGGGTTATTTACACGGTCACCTGTACGTCGCTTGCTCTCGCGTTACTAACCCAAATCATTTATATACGAGGGTGGATTGAAAAGTACTCGGCCTAACACAGATTCATTCAATTCTAAAAATCAAATCTATCCACATTATTTAGTTCAGTTCAGACTAGTTCATTGTGTGAAGTTCGAAACGTGTGCGATAATTAGTTGTGATTTTATAAATTTATTAACAAAGTATTCGGACATAATTTCCGCGAATGGAGCAAATCGAGCAGCGTGCCATCATTAAGTACCTCCATAAGAAGGGGCTATCATCAAAAGCCATCCATGATGACATGGTCAGTACATTAGGCGATTGTGCTCTGTCATATTCATCCGTCAAAAAATGGATAGCAGAATTTAAGCGTGGTAGAGAGAGTGTGAAAGATGAACCCCGCTCTGGAAGGCCTTCGACGTCAACTACTGACGAAAATATTAAAAAAGTACTTGATTTAATAATGGGAGACCGCAGATTAAAAATAAGAGAGATAGCCGAGATTATAGGCATCTCTTATGAACGAACTCAAAACATCATTGTCAACGAGTTGGGTTTCCACAAGGTGTCTGCGAGGTGGGTTCCGCGACTGCTTTCAGTTGAACAAAAAAGGATGCGATTGACTATTTCACGCGACTGTTTGGAGTTATTTGAAGCCGATGCAGATGATTTTTTGAATCGTTTTGTTACTATGGACGAAACATGGGTTCATTACTGTACACCGGAAACAAAACAACAATCAAAACAGTGGAGAAGACCTGGTTCACCACCCCCTAAAAAGGCTAAGTCGATTTTGTCGGCAAATAAGGTGATGGCTTCAGTATTCTGGGACTCGAAAGGTGTGATTATGATTGATTATCTTGAAAGGGGTCAGAATATAAACTCTGATTACTACTGCACCTTACTACGTCGTTTACGAGAGGAAATAAAAGAAAAACGTCGAGGAATGCTCAGAAGAAAAGTCCTGTTCATCCTGTTCATCAAGATAACGCCCGTGTTCACACGTCAGTACAGTCAATGGCTGAAATTCACAACTGTGGCTTTGAACTGTTACCGCATCCGCCGTATTCACCTGATCTAGCACCATCAGACTTCTTTCTGTTCCCTAACCTAAAAAAGCACTTGGGAGGTCAAAGATTTTCGACAAACGACGAGGTCAAAGCAGCTGTAGACGCATATTTTGACTCTAAGGAAGAATCATTTTTTTTCAACGGTCTAAATGCTTGGAAGGGGAGGTGGCAAAAGTGTATTGAACTTGATGGTGATTATGTAGAAAAATAAAAATATAACTGATTTAGTATTTGTTTATTTTCTTGGTTAGGCCGAGTACTTTTCAATCCAACCTCGTATTTTAGGTACAAACGGAGCAAGGAATAACATTGATTACAAAGAAATTTTGTAAGCAAAGAATATTTATTCGTACGATCTTTATGATGTTTTTTCTTTCGCACAAACAAACCTTTGTTAATATATGAAGCTAGTGTTCCATAAAAATGATAAGTCCATTTCCGAGAAATAGAACGAACTCTTACGACTTATACGAGCAAAATATGAAAATATTTTTTTTACAATATAAATTTATGTGTTACGTGTGACAAGCGCACGAGTCGTGATAAGTGATAACGATAAGGCAACACATTAGTCATCATTATCATCATCATCATCATTAAAGCGTTTCACAAGTCCACTGCTGAAAATAGACCTCCCCAAAGGAATGCCACATAGCACGAACTTGAGCCATCTGCATCCATCGACTTCCCGCATGTTTTGCCAGGTCGTCACTACATCAAGTGGGGTCCACCCTACACTTCACCTACCGGTACGAGCCTGACAATCGAGAAACTTTCTTCCCCGTCGGTTGTTGGTTTTTCGAGCTATATGGCCGGCCCACTGCCACTTCAGCTTACTAATCCGTTGGGCTATGTCGGTTGCTCTGGTTCTACTGTGGATAGCCTCATATATAAGTTTATCACGCAGAGAAACCCCGAGTATAGCCCTCTCCATAGTTTGCTGAGCGACCTTGAGCTTCCTCATACGGCCAACAGTGAAGTACCAAGTCTCAGATCCATAAGTCATCA